AATCTAAGCATGTAAAGTTAATCAATATTTCAAGTTTCAGTATATGATGATTATTAACGAATATTAGAAAATTGTTACTTTTTGGAGAAGTTTTAACAAAGATAATAAAAAAACAACGGAATTTGTAACTATGCTACATCAGACCATATTTCAATAAAACAACCATTCTAAACTTGACCTATAATCGATCATTTTTATTTTATCTTTTCTTAATATGATGACTTAAATAAGTTTCCAAACGATTTTACAAGATTGCAAATAATTTCCTTTGGCATTGTTTTTTATTTTTATAAATTTGAGTAACTTCATATCTACTTACTCTTGCAATATTTTTTTATTGGGTTTTATGTTTCTTTAGTATGGTGAGTACTTACTTGTCTTTTCGGAAAATTCACCGATTTTGCCGATATCAGTTGCCTTCATGATTACAGTCATGATTAAATATTAGTTTAAGAATAATCAATAAACTTCTTGTTTGATTACATAGAGGCGTGCAAGGAAAATGTATTTTTTTCAATTTGCACTCTCGTGCTTAATTCAGAATTAAATATTGTCTATAGTTAATTTTATCTTCCTCTTCCCCCCATAAATATATATATATATATATATATATATATATATATATATATATATATATATATATAATATATCAAGTACGTATGTATACTTCTTTTTAAAGAAAATATCCGAAAAGTGAGTGAAAACCCCTAGCCGAAGTTGAGGACAAGTTTTCTCTACTTTCAGCCGATTTCATCACTAGAAAGTCCTTTCCAATTCTTTGGTACTTATTCAGAGTTATTTCTTACCAGATATAAACTACGTAAAATTAAATTGATATGTATATAAGCCATAAATAATATTTTTATTTTTTTTAATCTTGTTCAAGAACAAATATATTCAGCCGTGAACGATAATTTTATTTATTCTTTTTTTTTTCTAGAATAGGACAGAATGTTTTCTTCTGTACTGATTACAAATAATTCTTTTTTTAAATTGAATTACAAGTGCATATTGTAGTTGAACTTGTTATTTATCAGGCATTTATGTATTAAAGAAAATTTCTTATAAACTTTTAGTTATTTTCTTACTATATGTCAGTGTAGAATTAATATATTATTCCGAAAAAAAAAAAATATTTTAAATAAAAAATGTGATGGGGTGTGGACCAGTTCTGGGATAACAGATCACTTTGGAACTGTTCACAGAACTGGAGAATGACTACCGGACTTCCATCATACGTATCACTATCGCACTCCACACCCCGCCCGCTAGATCCCAGGATAGTTTGGGTATTCCTGTTCTATCTGGAGAGGTATCCAGTGAGGACTGGAAGCCGTGCTTCAAGAAGGCCTGGTGGAAGGTACATGTCCCAATAAAACTGAATGAAAAATAAAAATTTCGTGTACGAGCTAACGATTTTTCTTGAAACGGGAATGGGTATAAAGTCGATTATATATTTGACTTACTATTGTAAACTACATTTGTTCAAATCCTCGGTCGTGTAGGAATATTCTCTTTACAAAAATAATTAGGGTTCATCTTCAGGATGGTCTTATACACTTACTAAGGTGAACTCGACGGATTGTGAAGCGTAGTAATGACCACAGAAGTGGACTTCATCATGCGAATGCTTCACGTCGCTTATCTCCTCACATTTATTGGAAACCCGAAACCTTTGGAATTTTTTTTTAATATTTGAGAACTTACATAAAATCAAGAAAATTATAATAAACCATTTTGATCAAACGAGTTACCACAGTAAATGTTTACCATTGGAAAAGAAGAAAAAAAATTTTTTTTGTAAATATTCGCATAAGTTCATGAAAATTATGAATTCTAAAGATATGAGAAAATTAAAATATTTGTATACGGAATAAATAGAATAAATTTATAAATATCTGTATTCTAAAAAATGTTGGAACTTAAACTATTTCATTTTATAATTCGAATTACGTAATAAAAATGTAAAAATTATTTTAAGGTTGTAGATATCAATTTTGCAAACATTTTTATAGGACGCCCCGGAAATTGGGAAATCTTTGATTTTGCTCCTCTCCCTCTCGCCATTAATTTAGCGAATTCTCATATGATCGTTTCATATTTCGTTTTGTTTTTTCTATGTATGAATGGTATTACTAAGATTTTTGTTTTCGGCTCCTGCCTGATTGAAGATACAATGAATGATAGGTGTAGAAAAAAATATGACTGTTCCTTACAAGTCCGATATTATCACTATAAGATTTATAAATAGTAAACAAATAAATTGTATAAACAATAATTTTGATCCTATGTTATTAACGGGAAATTCAATTATTTTTATGATTATTTAACATAGAGGTATACTTTTTGTTTTAATGTTTTATTACTATAATTATATTCAAATAAATGTTGGTATAATTATACTATCTGCATATAAGTGATATAAGGTATTATTAATCCGACATTTTTTTTCTCACACTAATTAGTCTTCCTGTCTCGAACCACGCATTTTATTAACTTGCAAATAGTTCAGATAACAATAGATGCAAAAGAAACCTTGAAAAGTCCAGATCACTGTTTCGGAGATTTTTAATTATATTGTTACAAGATATCTACAATTATTTCGTAGTGCCTTGTATAGGCTTCTTCGAATCGACTTATTCGTCATTCCTCCTTGAGACCTACATAAACAAGAAAAAATAATAAACAAAACAATAAAATAAACAAAATATTCTTTGTAATTAAAAAAAAAATATAAATATTCGATTAGCGCTTTGGTAATTATCTCCTGAGTATTGTGAATAGATTTTCTTAATTCTCATGAGATTATAGGTTGGGAAACATAACGAGTCATTCGGATTGCATTTAATTTAATTACCACTTATGTACTTTTCATTTATTCATTATTTTACATTTTACTTCCTCAAATACGTAGCATAATTAAAAAATTTGTACTAGAAAAACGTAAATGCTAATTTAACCAGATATAATAGCAAATTAACTTATAATGTGGGACTTATTAGGAGTCATATCAAATGCCGCTAGAGTAAAAACAAGAATATTAAATGATATTATATTTTAACCAAGATCAAGTTATCAGTGAAAGTGTTAAGGAGTCTTTTAAGAACAAATTATATTTAATTGTTTAACGAAATACACCTACATGGTTGGTTTTCATTGTTGTAAAAGATAATAACGAACGTTGGTTTTCTTGTTTTTCTCTAACAATGAGCAATAATATGGACTAAATAAATAAGTAAATGTTGGTCTGTGTTATCAACTTATTTCATGCAAATTAGTTCTTTAAAAATTAGGAACAACATTGAAAGAATATTTTCCAGAAAATAAATGAATAAAATTGGGTAATTTCTTCCTGAAATACTGATTTTGATTTTTTTTTTATATTAGATAACTATAAATTCTGAGTACTTCTGTAAAATAGTTAAATTTTAAATTGAATTAATGTTCTTATTAAAGAAATGTATATTCTCGAGTGGAAAGAAAGGTACATCTAATAAAAAAATATATTGACTTGACATAAAACTTACTGTACTTCTGCGTAAAGTATACATATTTTTTGTTTTTCGTTTGATATTGTTAGCCATATGGTATAAATATAAACAGTTTTTCTTCACAGCTATGATCTAAAGGGCGTTATATATTGAATTGTATTTTTTCAATTCGACTCGATATTCTTAAAAGTTTGTCACTGCGCGTTATTTCTACTCAATGTAAACGACTCTAACGGGAAACTGTGCTAGCGCAATTGCCTACCTGTAGTTTCAGGATCGTTAGAAACTTTTGGATACAGATCTCTTCCTATGGGTCGTAGCGTTGTAATTTTTAAAATCCTTTCATGATAAGCGATCCATCTGATGCAAGAAGAATTTTAGAAATCGACTGAATAGTTCATAAAATTAGCGCGTTAAAAAAATCTTCAGATTTATTAATCAGTTTATGAATGTTAGAGCTATTGTAGGTATTATATTTTACGTCCAATTTCGATGTGTTGTATTAGATCTTGCAAATAAAAGCGATCGTGGGTGTACCATAAAAAATTCACTTTGCGTGCCGTCCTTGTTTCTATCAGAGGTATTATTAATTTAACACAACCTCGATTTCTCTGTGTAAATGAATAAATATCTTCGATGACACTTACCCCGAATCATATTATGAATGAAAATAATACGTAATTGTGGTTTATTATCTGAATTTGGAATATTTTTTTTCTGGAACATTATTGATACTTACCGATTTGATCTATCATCACATAAATATTTTTTAAGACATATTTAGTGCCTTATCGGTGAATGTCGAAACCAATGTTTTATCTTTATCATTCTTTATGTCGTCCGTGATTATATGATTGCTTTAATACGTCACAATGTTGCTAATCTGTTCTTCACGTGTATTTTTAATGAAAAGCAAAACAGCGCCAACTTTCCTACAGGACTGATATTCGAAGGGTAATTCTACGGTTATTGAGATTTTTTCAGTTGTACTAAAAATTAATATTAAGCAGGTTTAAAATTTTGTTTTATTAAAATTTCCATTTTTAACTTAGTCACTTCCAGTCTCCGTTTTGACTACGGTAATTACTGTAAATACCAATAATATCTAGCTAGCACTGGGATATATGAACCAGTAACTATAAAACTGTTATAACAGTGCACTTTTTCGAGAAAATTGTAAGTTATCTCTGTTTAGTTAGAAAAAGAATATGATAAAAATTAATTCAATGTGATACTCGGAACAATTGCGGTAATGATATTTTCTGGATTCTAACTTTTTACATAGTAATAAATATTGACGGACTTTTTTTCTAATAATTATCTGTAGATGACCAAACTGCAAAACATTTTTTTTTTTAATTTTTCCTTTAAACTCCGTTTCTAAAAAGTACGATAACGTTATCACTAACGTATCTTAATATTCTACAGCGATAAATGAGATATCAAATTACCTATTTGCTTCTAATTTTACTTATTTTTTGGATTCTAATCGTATTTTTTTTTTATCAGATAAAAGATGCCCGCAAGATTCCCGGAAATGGACCACCTTCAAGAGATCGGAGGAGACAGTCGCCCGTATGGCAGCCACAGCGAAGATATCGTCATATCTGGAATTTCTGGTAGACTTCCAGAGTCTGAAACGGTCCAAGAGTTTATGGAAAATCTTCTGGCTGGAAAGGATTTGGTGACTGATACAGAGCGTCGTTGGAAAAGAGGTGATCACCTTTTGCAGATTAATTATTGTTTTAAATTATTTATAACAAACTAATAATAAAATGATTAATGGAACTTAAATGAGTTGCTAATTAAGAAACATTAATATTTTTTTCTTTTCAAGTTAAACCTAATAATCAAAGATTTTAAACTTGAAAACATTAAACTATTTAAAAAAAAACAAATTATTTATATATATGATTATTAAACAATATAGATGGGTTGGCATTATGTAAATTATTATTATGTTATTCTTCGAAGGTTATTTATTTGAACTACTAACTGGTCCGTTACTATAGATATAGAGAGACTTCTATCATATGTAACATACTGCTTACAAAATTAATGTTATCTAAAATTTATTCTCTTCAATATTAATACTTTTAGTTAAGTTCATATTTTTATGAAGATAATTTAAGAAACATGGGAAAAATTTGGTTTTCATATGACAATTACATTTCAAGGTATACTAGTTCTATTAAATATAATGATTTTATTATTTTTTTATGATTGCATAATCAGTCTGTTCTCAATCCCGAATTAATATTTCATTTTTGAATAGTCCTTTTTCCTTGAAAAAATAAATGCATCCTTTCTTGATAAAAATTAGACCCTTGTTATTTTATTTCCTGTATGGAATAAATATAATTTTCCCTTTAAAATTATTGTAATGATATTCAATCTGCAAAATATCCATTTCCAGTTCTTTGTCATGTTGGTTTTATAACAATGCTATCTGCAGCAACTATTAAGGTACCTCCTTAAGTTTCCCAGAATTATAGTTTTCCTTTATGATCATTCATAATCAAAATAACTCCTTTATTTGGATAATACTGTCTCCCAGGAGTGCTCGATTTATCAAGATAAAGCTGATTTTTTGTTAATAACATTTTAAAATAAAATAAAGGTATTAAAATATCAATTAAATAAAACTTGTTCAGTACAATCAGGATTAGGGAGAATGCTTATATAGTTCATGTGATTAGAAATTTTGGTATTGGAATCATTTACATTAATTTTGTACACAGGAATTGTAAAAAAAAAATATTAATCCAATTTAAAAAAAAAAAATATATATATATATATATATATTATAGGTTTCTTTACAATTTATAAATTATTAAAGACAATTTTGTTTTTATAATTTGCCATCTTATTTACTTTTGAAATGAATGTTTTAGGAGTTTATGGCCTGCCAGCTAGAATGGGAACATTAAAAGACGTATCTCACTTTGACGCTACATTTTTTGGAGTCCACGCTAAACAAGCCGACTGTATGGATCCGCATCTCAGGCTTGGTCTTGAGACAACCTACGAAGCGATAATTGATGCAGGTAGGAATAAGCATCTGATATTTCAATTATAGATGACTTATGTATAAATCTTAAATTATTTGTTTTGAATTTTTAAGATATAAATATAAATGTGATAAATATAATTTTTGTATGGTATTTTTTTATTTATATTTATTTATAAATGATAATTTGTGTAGGTCTTCAACCAGAAGATTTAAAAGGAACCAACACAGCAGTAATAGTTGGTTCAAGTAACTGTGATAATGAATCTTTCTTCACGAGTTTTCCTGATAAAATAAATGGTTATGAACTGACCGGTAATGCTAAAGCCATGGTTTCCAACAGAATATCCTACTCATTTGATTTACATGGTAAGTTCAATAGCAAGAAATATTAAAAATGTCGAATTGTCCATTATTTCGATTAATTTTGTCTACTGTAATTTTCTAGGACCCAGTTATACAATTGACACAGCCTGCTCTAGCTCCATGATGGCCTTTCACCAAGCAGTAGAAGCAATCAGAACAGGGCAATGCGACTCTGCTGTCGTCATAGGATCGAACGTCTTATTAAAGCCCACTTCTTCATTACAGTTTCACAGGTTGGGCATGTTGAGTGCAGATGGTAAATGCAAAGCTTTCGATGCTTCAGGTATGAACAATATCTATATTTAAATTTAGTTATGTTTAATTTGAAATAAAGTTGATTAAATTAATCATTTAAACAGGTGACGGTTATGTAAGGAGTGAAGCAGTTGTTTCCCTTCTTTTACAAAAAGCTAAAGACGCAAAACGAAACTATGCCACAGTAGTTAACACTGGAACAAATACTGATGGAAGCAAAACTGAGGGTATCACATTTCCTTCGGGCCAAGCACAGAAGGAGCTGATCCTTCAAGTTTACAGGGAAGCCGGAATAGACCCGGCTGATGTTGTCTATGTTGAAGCTCATGGAACAGGAACAAAGGTAAATTGATTTTTATTTAGCTGATAGTTGTAATGTCTTTATTGTTGTAAAAATAGATTTTTATTATATTTTTTTTTTTTCAGGCGGGTGATGCACAAGAAGTGAATTCTATTGTTGACGTATTCTGCAAGGGAAGGAGGTCTCCTCTTCTTCTAGGCTCAGTCAAATCAAACATGGGTCATGCCGAACCTGCATCTGGTGTTGCCTCTATAGCTAAGATGGTAATGGCCATGGAAACTGGTGTGATCCCTACTAATCTACATTTTAAAAGTCCGCGAACTGATATTCCTGGATTGAGTGATGGCCGACTTCAAGTAATTAACTTAATGAATTTTGTTTATTTGTCCATTAAATCAAAAATATATTTAGTAATTATTATTATAAACCATTACTGATCCCTAACATAATTACTTTTTCAGGTTGTCGACAAGAACTGGAAATGGAATGGAGGACTTGTAGGTATCAATTCTTTTGGTTTTGGGGGCTGTAATGTTCACGTCATTCTTAGGTCAAATCCTAAACCCAAACCACTCCCAGCTAAAAGCAGTATCCCTAGGATTGTTGTAGCTTCTGGCAGAACACCTACTGCTGTTACTAACTTCTTACAAAAGGTAAACTATATCTTATTTATATATTTACATTTGGACCTTTATTAAAAATTAGTTGAAACTATTTTCCGCTTCAATATTCTAATAAAAAAATGTTTGCAGATTGAAAAGATGCCAAGAGACGATGAAATGATTGCACTATTACACGACATCCATAGTAAAAGGATTGTAGGTCACCCTTTTAGAGGATTCACTGTGCTTTCTGAAACACCCACTCGAGAAGTTTCTGTGAGTTACCAGTGATTATAAATGCCAGTGATGGATCATTGGTTCTTGACATTTTTTACTTACTAGCATGCTATTTTCAGGAGGAGCCAGTAGACAAGAGGGAGGTCTGGTACATAATGTCAGGAATGGGAACCCAATGGCCTGGAATGGGGAAAGCTCTGATGGGTCTTGATGTATTTGCCAGGTCTATTCACCAGAGTGCAGCTGTTCTTGCTACTGAGGGGGTCGACCTTCTCAACCTTATCATGAACAGTACTGATGACTCAGTATTTGAAAATGTGTTACATTCCTTCGTTACCATAACCGCTACTCAAGTAAATTCTCTTTTATTACATTTTTCATTTCGTGAAATGTAAATATCTAAGAAGAATGATATTTAATAAATTTTCATTTTAGATTGCTTTGATTGACTTACTTAACTCACTTGGACTATCTCCTGACGGCATAGTCGGCCACTCTGCTGGTGAATTGGCATGTGCATATGCTGATGGCTGTTTCACAGCTGAGCAGACCATATTAGCTGCTTACTGGAGAGGCAGGTGTGTCATTGAATGTAAACTACAAAAGGGAGCTATGGCTGCAGTTTGTAAGTCAAAATCACATTTTAATTGTCTTCAAATTGAAATAATAAAGCAGAGATGTAAATATAAATTTTCTATTATAGCTCTAACATGGGAAGAAGCCAAAGCACAAGCACCGCCCGGTGTCTTCGCAGCTTGCCACAATGGTGAGGACTCAGTAACTATTTCAGGACTTCCTGATCTCATCGACAAGTTCGTTGCAGAACTGCAGGCACAAGGAAAATTTGCGAAAAAAGTCAGTAGTTCTAATGTCGCTTTCCACTCCAAATACATTGCAGAAGTTGGGCAGAAACTAAGAATCAACTTGGAAAGGGTAATCATTTATCATATCTAGAATGAACTATTCGCATGTTAGTACAATATCTGCATTGAAAAATTATTTGATTCCAGATAATTCCAAATCCAAAACCAAGGTCAAAGAGGTGGCGTTCAACATCAATTCCAGAATCTGGTTGGAACTCACAACTCGCTGCTACATCCTCTGCAGCCTACCTCAACAATCTTCTTTCTCCAGTATTGTTTTATGAAGCACTCCAGCATATTCCAGAGAATGCCATTGTTGTCGAAATAGCACCTCACGCTCTCTTGCAAGCCGTCCTCAAGAGATCAGTACCTAAATCTTGTCTGAATATCGGTTTAGTAAAGAAAAATGCTCCTGATGAATTAGGATTTTTCTTAAGCAATCTTGGAAGGTTAGTATATTAATAACACAAGTGGTAAAATTCAGTTTTATTCACAAAATACGTTTGATAAAGTAGTTTTTTTATTAATATAAAATTATTTTTCTGAATCAGTAAAGGCTTAGTTTACTGCTAAATCAGTGCTGACTAGTATTTTTTGATATTGGAATTATGAATTTGTATCACTAAAGTTTAGTCTAGTTATTAAATTTAGTTAGTTATTAAATTAATAACTAAAATTTAGTTCTGAATTTAATAACTTTTAACCTCCTGTAACAATATAATATTTATGATTTTATTTAGGCTGTACAATGCTGGTCTTCAACCCAAGGTACAAGAATTATATCCACCTATTACATACCCAGTATCAAGAGGAACACCAAATATTTCATCATTATTGGAATGGGATCATTCTGCCGAATGGGATACTGCTGACTACAGAAAACTTGTAAGAAATGTGGTCAAATCCAACCTTATTATAATGGATATATACAAATATTTCCTCTTTGCCAAGTTACTATAATTGAAAAGTACATTAATCTTATTAAACCTTATACTAACAATTATTAGAATAATTATGTGCAATAACGATATTAAAAGTATTATATATAATTATTGATGATCGATTTAGGGCAAAGGTACCGGAGAGTCTATCATTGAAGTGAACATTGGAGACAGTAAAGATGCCTACATCAGCGGCCATTGTATTGATGGAAGGGTTCTGTTTCCGGCTACAGGCTACCTTGTAAGTATTATTCATTTTGTAAATTTTCATTTGTATTTATGAGAACAAATATAAAATGTTATTATTTTTTTCTAGACTCTAGCATGGCAAACATTTGCTAAGCTTCATGAAAAGGAAGTCGAGCAAATGCCAGTCATCATTGAGGATGCGCAATTTCTCAGAGCAACAATTATGCCTAAAGATGGTAAGTTATAAATTTTAAAATTCTTTGTATAGTTGTTCATAACAAATTTTATATAAAAACTAGACTTTTATTGGTTTTATTTATTTATACAATTAATGTTTCAGGTACTGTTAAGTTCCTTGTCAATATATTTGATGGGTCTGGTGAATTTGAGATTTGCGAAAGTGGAGCTGTTGTAGGTCAGAGGAAAAATTAAGGAGTCGCCCGGATATGAGAAAGAATCCCTCTCTCTTGGACCTCTTCCAAAAATAGCCAAAGACAGCTTCGAACTACAGAAGAGTGAAATTTACAAAGATCTCCGCCTTAGAGGCTATGATTACAAAGAAATTTTCAGAGGTGTAATCAAAGCTGACGATTTAGGTAAACTAGCACAATAATCATTCTGTTGAAATTTATCTAGTATTATTTTCTTGCTTGATAAATGGTATTTTTTTATCACCAAAAAATTTTATTTTGTTTTTACTTTTAGGAAATAGAGGAGAATTAGAATGGAGAAAAAATTGGATCAGCTTTATGGATACGATGTTACAATTTTCACTTATCAAAACAAATTCAAGAGAGCTTTATCTTCCAACAAGATGCCAGAAAATCGTCATCGATCCCATTGCCCATATGGCAAATTTACAGGACGCAGAAAGTAAGAACCACCAATATTAAGTGTTATGATATTCTTCAGTTATTGTTCCTTATTCAAATTTTAATTTCCTTTTCTTCTAGGTGTTCCTGTTAGATACGATTCATATCTTGGAGTAGTACAAGCAGGTGGAGTCGAAATCCGAGGAATTAAAACTAGTCTTGCTCCAAGAAGACAACAGACACAGACAGCCCCATTAACTGAAAAATATATTTTTGTCCCATTGAATAACAATAAAGTAAGTACACTCTTTAAATATTAATCTCTCCTTACTCTTTTATTATATTAATATAAGGATATATTTAATAAAATATTTATTTCCTCTTAGGTAATACCTCAGACAGAGGTGATCACATCTCAAATCCAATTAGCTGTTGAAAACTGCCCGTTGAGTAAGAAAATAAAGATAGTGGAATATGTTGGAAAACAAACTGTACCCATTATTTCTTCCGTTCAATCGGTACTGCAGCAGAACCAGAATTACGGGTAAGAGAATTGAATTTTTTGATTAAGAAGACAATCATTGATTTAAGATTTTTTCTAAAGATTTTCTTTCCATCAGGTTGACTTTTCTATTGCAACCACTGAAGATATAGATAAGAGTGCTCTCAGTGATGTAAATTTTATTAGCAAAGATTTGAACGAAGATCTTTTGGATGACAGCTACAATATTCTGATTGGTCATAAACTCCTCTCCAGTGGACAACTTCTCAACAATGCCTCTGAAAGTGTTGTTGAGTCTGGGTTTATTTTATCAGTTGAAGCTCACAAGTACAGCACAGCAGAATTGAAGAAACTTGACGATTTTGTCTTGGTTTCTGAAGCTAAAACTGAAGAAAGCACTTACGTTTTGCTGAGGAGGGTAGGTCAAATCTAATAATTCATTTTTTTTTTTGCATTCACAGAATAAGAAATGATTTTTTTTTTTCATAACTTTAATGGTTATCATTATCAATATGATTGATTATATTGCTTTTTATTCGTAGGAGAGGGATTCCTTACCAAAACAAATCATCCCTATTCAGCAGACTGATTTCAAATGGATTGAACAACTTAAGAAAATCATGCAAGAATCTAAAGATCCCGAAGAAAGAGTCCTTCTGGTGGCAGATGATAATCCTTTCTGTGGTCTCATCGGTTTGTTTAACTGCTTGAAGAGGGAAGAAGGAGGAGACAAACTTAGGTACCTACAATAAGAAAATTTATTATTTTAATTATTATTTTCTTTTAAGTTTAGTCCATGTTTAAAAATCTTGAATTTTATTCTTTCAGGTGTGTTTTCACTTTTGGAAGCAAATTCTCAATGGCTCAGCACAAAGATCAAATTAAAAAAGATCTGCTTGTCAACGTCTTGAAAGATGGAGCATGGGGTTCATTCAGGCACTTGCCAGTTTACTCTAATGATCGCTCACTGAATGTTGAACATGCTTATGTCAATACACTTGTGCGTGGTGATTTGTCCAGCCTTCGCTGGATCGAAGGACCTCTATCATTCTACAAGTAAATAATCAGCATTTTTCTTTAAATTCTCTTCATGCTCTATTTATGCAAAAAAAAAAATCATTTATGCTATTTATTTTAGACCTGAAAATTATCCTGGAAAGGAACTTTGTACAGTTTATTATGCACCTTTGAACTTCCGAGATATTATGTTGGCCACTGGAAAACTTCCTCCTGATGCTCTTCCAGGAGATATGGCAAACCAGGTATTGAATATTTTTTTGTTAGTGATTGTATTCAGTATGGTTTGTTTTGTAGAATATTTAAATATTTTTATAAAATCTTATTTCTTCAAACAAGTTACCAAAAGTATTTTGTATCAGGAATGTATTCTTGGACTCGAATTTTCGGGAAGAGATTCAAAAGGAAATCGTGTGATGGGATGTGTCGCAGCTTGCAGTTTAGCTACTACTGTTGTGGCCGATCCAGATTTTATGTGGACTATCCCAGCAAAATGGTCCTTAGAAGAGGCTTCTACAATCCCTGCCGTCTATGCTACTGTAAGTATATTTTTATTTTTTAAAAAGTCTTAGATACTGCAGATTTTCTTTATTTCATTATATTATCTCGTATTACATTAAATAAGGGGAAACATTATTTAATAGAAATGATTCTTTTGTTGGAAATTGTTAGCTTTTAGTGACAAGAAAACTAATATAAAGTATTTGATTTGTTTTTGTTCAGAGCTACTATGCCCTGTTGTCCGTGGTCGCATGAAGAAAGGAGAAAGTGTCCTCATCCACGCTGGAACAGGTGGTGTAGGCCAAGCCGCCATCTCGATCGCTCTTCACATGGGCTGCACTGTATTTACAACTGTTGGTACGCCTGAGAAACGAGAATTCATCCTCAAAAATTTCCCAGAAGTAAGTGATTTTCAGAATTTTATATCTTGCAAATAAACACGACTTTTAAGTTTTATTCTTAATTCAATTCTCACATTATAGGTGAAACCATCACATATTGGTAATTCAAGAGACACAAGTTTTGAACAGATGATACTGAGAGAAACTGAAGGCCGTGGTGTTGATCTAGTTTTGAACTCATTGGCTGAAGACAAGCTGCAAGCATCAGTGAGATGCCTCGCAAGACATGGTCGATTCCTTGAAATTGGAAAGCTTGACCTCTCAAATAACTCTCCACTTGGTAATTAATATATACTCAATTAATTTCTGTTTTGCAAAATCATTGACAAAACCATCTTTATACATTCTTGGTTGTTAATCGTAAGATGTTAATCCATAATGAATTTTATAGGTATGTCACTTTTCTTGAGAAACACAACATTCCACGGAATCCTTCTAGATGCTCTGTTCGATGCCTCATCTGACAATCCTGAGAAGATGGAAGTAGCACGATTGGTCCGTGACGGAATTAAGACCGGTGCTGTCAGGCCTCTACCAACCACAACCTTCAATTATGCACAATTGGAACAGTCTTTCAGGTAAGACTGCTTATTTGACTTCTTACAACTGATTAAACTCCTATTTTATAATTGTTCTTATATGCTTATTTTGATCTCTAGATATATGGCAACAGGCAAACACATTGGTAAAGTCGTCTTGAAAATAAGGGATGAAGAGCCCGAGAAAGTAGTGAAGCATCCAAAACAATTTTTAATGGAGTCTTCACCAAAGACCTACATGAATCCAGACAAATCTTACATACTTGTTGGTAAGTTTGTTTCTGTTTCATTAAACTTCTTAAATACAAACAAGACCTCACACTATTTTCAACTTGCATGTCTTGTGAGCGTCACCTGTAATCTGCTCTTTATAAATTCAGACATAAAAACTTCCAAGGCATTAAATGCTCAGGTATTACAGCTATCTGCAGTGATATCTAAATTAGGTAGCTCTGTAGAAGAAACCAAGACCTTGTAATAATAATAATGCATTTTAACTATGTCAGAAATAGCAAAAACCTATTTTTAAATAGTAGCCCGGATTAAACTAAAAAGAGTATTACGAAAATAATCTCTCTTTGGGATATTAATAATAGTAAGAGAATACTGACCTAAGTGTTCGTTTTTACTTATGTTAGGAGTATCTCATTCATAATTTTAATAAATTTACTTTTTTGCGAAATAACTTAATAATAATTTCACAAAGTTATCGTCAATCTTAAACTTCCTAACTGAAATTTAATTTATGCCATCATACCATTGAGTGAACTCATACTCATACATATTTGTACATTATAACAAGCTTTTTCATCTCTTTGTCAGGTCCTCTAACCTTGAGGAGTAGGATAATAAATCTGTTTAGACATTTCATGTCCTGAATTCATTTTAAGAAGGCTCTGTAATAATTATGGTTACAAATTATTTATGATGTTTTTTCCTTTTAAGGTGGTCTTGGTGGTTTGGGATTAGAGCTGACACAATGGATGATTTCAAGAGGTGCCAAGAAAGTGGTTCTAGTCTCTAGATCAGGAGTGACCAATGGATACCAGAATATGTGCATCCGTCGTTGGAAGCTTGCAGGTGCGACTGTTGTAATCTCTACAACTAACGTCACTGACATGAAGGGAGCTAAGAGTTTGATAGAAGAGGCAAACAGACTTGGTCCTGTTGGGGGAATATTCAATCTTGCAGCTGTGAGTTTTAATTTGGTCATGATTCAAAGTGAAAATTAAGAAAAATAAAAAGTATTAATTCATCTATTCTATGTGTTCCATTTTAGGTATTACGTGATGGTTTGTTCGAAAATCAAACCGAAGCAGACTTTGTTGCAGTATGTAAACCAAAGATCGATTCAACAATAAATCTCGATATTGCCAGCAGGTCATGCAATCAGCTTGACTACTTTGTTATATTTTCATCTGTTTCTTGTGGAAGAGGAAATCTTGGACAAACCAATTATGGTCTGGCCAACTCCGCCATGGAAAGGATTTGTGAAGAGAGGCAAAGGAATGGTCTTCCAGGGGTAAGAATTGAATTTTACTTTGTTAATTGTTTCCTCTTTATAAGAACTGACCCTAATTGTTTATATTTTTCTTTTTTCAACAGCTGGCCATTCAGTGGGGTGCAATCGGTGATGTTGGTCTGGTTATCGAAGCTCTTGGAGGTGACAATGAGACTGTTGTAGGAGGAACCTTACCCCAAAGGATAACTTCTGTCCTTTCCACTATTGACTTCTTCCTTCAACAACCACACCCTGTTCTGTCCTCATTGGTCATTGCTGAAAAGAAACAGGCAACAGAAGCAGGTTCTGTCAGTCTTGTTGACGCAGTTGCCAACATTCTCGGTTAGAACAACACAATTTTCTTCAATTCAGTTCATTTATTATGTTTGTGATCTATATTTTTTAATTAATATTCAGACAAGGAACTCAAATTTATTATATTTTTACCAGTAAAATCTTTTTTTTTTTTTCTGTTGTGTAGTATTTGGATATTATCGGATTTCAACTGTTCAATATTTGAAACTAGGATCAAATTTGTATTGTGATTAGTTTCTTACATATATATATATATATATTTTTTTATCCTTTTTTTTAGGCATTAAAGACACAACTAATGTACTTGCTTCGACCAATTTGGGAGAATTGGGTATGGACTCGTTGATGGGTTCAGAAATTAAACAGACACTTGAAAGGAACTACGACCTCGTTCTTAGTACTGGTGAAATTAGATCGCTCACTTTTGGAAAACTTAAAGAACTTGCTGGTATGCAAACATCTACGGAACAAGTAGAGGTAAAATTGAAATTTATTTCATTACAATATTATTTTACACAAGTTATAATAATACAATATTCCATAAAAAAAAAGTAAGAATTCTTATATTTTATATCATATGTATATTTTTAGGAAACTAAGGTGAAGACAAAGCTGACACCAACACAGACATTGGTTCCAATGCCATCTGCAACTCCTCTCAATGGGCCGAAGCCTTTCTTTATTGTCCATCCGATTGAAGGAGTTGTTAGCCTTCTTGAAGAGTTTACTTCCAACATACCATTCAATGTTTATGGTTTCCAGTACACAAAAGATGTCCCTGATGATAGCATTCAGTCCCTTGCAGCATTCTATTTGAAGGTATGCATTGTTTGTTAATCCTTCTGTATTAACAATTCTTTTACTCATTGTTTTAAAATCACATGTTTTATCATCAATGATTTATTAAAATATTTTTTTGATTATTTTGTGCAGACTATGAAGAATGTTGAGGTTCAAGATCCAGTTTTGCTTGGTGGATATTCCTTTGGTGCATCAGTTGCTTTTGAAATGGCCTTGCTACTCGAATCTCAGGGCAAAAATGTGCACCTCTTTCTGATTGATGGTGCCCCTGATTTCGTAAGACTACGTACTTCAATGTACAGTCTAAGAAGGCTGATGCTGATGAGTGTGATGCCTTCGCTTACTACATCACCTTATTTAAGACTGTTGATCACCAAGAATATATTAAGGTAAGTTATTGAGTTTAATAATAAATAGAGAGACATTGAAATCGATAAGTATCTCAGAAAATTAAACTATGTTTCTATTATTGTAGATTCTATAATTCACTATCTTAATAAAAATCTCTAAAATGATTTATTATATTATGCACTGAAAATTTTATATTATAAATAAATGATGAAATACAACTATTTACTCATAAAAGCATTTGTAATTTCAGCTCCAACAAGAGTTCAAAGCCTTGCCTGACTTTAATTCTAGATTGGAACTGTGTGCTGAAAAACTTAAAGGTAATGGTGAATCAGAAGAAGATTTGAAGACTGCTATTGTAGCATTCTATAAAAAATTGGTTGCCAGCGACAGCTATAAGCCATCGGGTGTTTTCAAAGGAAAAGTTGTTCTCTTGAAGGTTGAACAGAACTTCGTTGATATTGCAAGTGATTATGGACTCAAAAAGGTAATTTAAAAAATAAAAATTGTAATGTTAGTGATTTTTAACTATCCCTGAGTTGCATTAAATATGATATGTGACAAATGATGCTCAAAATAATATTTTATGAACAAACTTATTTTCTACTATGTTCTAAAACCACTGTAATGTAAATACTTACAGTTTGTAGTTTTTCATAGAATAATCTAACCACTTTATCATTAGTCACAAATCCTTGTTTTTTCAAAATGCTATTGTTACCAAAAATTCTTCATCAATGATGAAAGCTAGTTTCAACAAATATTATGGATCTAAATTTTCTCAGTTAGTCCCTCATGGTTGTGTGCTGACTAACTAATAATAATTTGCAGATGACAGATTTATTTTTATTATTAAAATTATTTGAATTAAGAACCATATTATTATAAATCATGCAGAAAGAACTGTTATATAATTTTAAAATTATAATCAATCAGCCTAACAATACCTTCATTCTTTCAGATCTGCAAACAGAGCCCTGAGATTCATTCCTTTTCGACCACTCATCAGGAAATCGTTAAAGGCCAAGTCGCTAAGGAAGTAGCTGACAAGATCATCAAAGCTGTGAAATCATGATACACAACTTCCACGGGTAAAAGAAAACGTCATCGTAACGGTCGTAGAAGGAAAAAGGCAAACTCCTCTAGTAACACTTAGGGCATATCAAGTCGGTAAAATCGAACTATTTCGTTATCATGTTACTGTTTAATCTGTTAAGATCAATCATAGAGGCACAAGTTACATAATTAATATGTATAAAGTCTCTCATTCCATTGTATAGGTAGTATATATCTAGATTATGGAAATTCTATATCTCTCTCAGTGTATTGTAGTCATGATAGAACTCTTATTAATATAAGGTAAAAATGTGAAAAAATTTTTATTTATTTTCATTATGTAAATATTACCAAATTATATTTTGAGGTATAATTTTTAATTTTTAAGCCTATTTATGTATAGATACTATTGTACAGTTACTATTTTTAACACTATTATATAGTTTGTGAATTATGGCTGTTTGACTGAGATCTACTTTATTGTGATTAAATAAAATTTAATTGATATTTTCAAGTTATTCGTATTATTTATCCTTGGGTTTTCCACATATTTATATTATAATTTAAACCATATTTTATAAAGTACATGTAATTTTTTTGAATATGGTTTATGGAATAAGAAGAACTGAAGCCTTAGTGAAATATGGGATGATCTTATTGTCTCATTGAGGGAGATAGGAGTTGCATGTTGATAGTTTAATGTTCTAAGTAATTTCAAGGAGGTTAGATTTGCAAGATTTTAATTTAAGCTATTGATAGAACAATGACATGCATTCATAGTCACGACAGCAGCAAAACTGAAAAGATTTATTCTGGGTTCAATCCAACTCAAATTGATTCCATTGTTCTCAGTTTCTATATTTAGAAGTTAAGATAATTTGGATTTCCAGATTTCTAATGGATACCAACCAAACTGTTACCTTTTCGTGCTGGTATGGTGCAGTATCAACATGAGAATCAAACCCGGAAACTGATGATCCTACTCACTAGCGGATCCAGGATATAATTTTGGGGGGCTTCCAGCCCGGAAGCTTTTTTTTTTTTATATATCATTATATGATAGGCAAAACAAATCGGTTCAGCCCTTTTACTCCTCTATTATTCAACCGATTTTCTTCATCTTTTTTTGTTTAATAGATATTGACGAGCTTTAGTGTTATCAATAAATAAAAATATTAAATATATGTGAATAAAAATATAAATGGTAATTTGTTCAAAACGGCTTCTCTCCGAAAGTTCTTCACTGATTTTTTTTAAATTTTGACATAACGTCGCAATAATATTTAGAAGTTTTTTTCTATACGTTTCATTATCATCTTTGCTTTTAAAATGGCGGCCGAAAAACGTGATTCGCTTTAGACTGAAGCGCCAATATGGCTTCAACGATTTCAATGAAACTTGGCTAAAGTCTCTCCCTTTAAACGTTTCTAATTTATTTATGTAACATACTTTCCCCAAGACAAGCTGGATAAATATTTACCACGAATTCAGTATGTTATTTGCGAATAACTCAAAAAGTAGACATTTTTTTATTGATAATATCAATATTTATTTGAAAGCTTTCTGAATTCCCTACAAAATAAAAAAAAGACCATCATCTAAAAGAATCAACTCCGAAATGAAACAATTCGTAATGGCCAAAGGAGCAAAGTGGGTTCAAATATTTTTTTAATGAGGAACGGAGTTGAGATTCTTCTTTCGCATCTTGACAAACCCTCAAATACAAATTTTCATTGCAATCCAAAAATAAAAATTTTTACCTCAAATTTTTGTCAAGGCAGGAGCCTTCAAATTTTTTTTAAAAAATCACAAAAGTTGTCATAACTTCCATATAGCTCAAGATTTTTAAATGAAAAAAATATGCATTTAGGGCCCTATAATATAGACGAAATGGCATTAAACAGAGGTCCGTAAATAAATTATGCTTGGAGAAAAAAATAAGAAAAACCTGTTTCCAGTTTTCCTTTATTTATTCCTTATGAGGGCGTTAAATATAAAAAAAATCATCGAAATCAGACTATTTATTGCAGAGATATATCATTTTAAACATTTAGTACGTTTTCTTTCCCTTCCAAGTTCAATTTCTTTTATTTTGTTTTTTGATAAATCGAAAACTTTTCATTTACTGAGATAATTAATTGGGTCTATTATTTGAAGAGATATATCATGTAATGTTAGTGGAATGATACCTAATAAATTAAATTTAAAAACATTTTCTATAGTTATACTCATTGTTAACTTAAATACTGCGCAAGCATTAGTTAATGGTACAGGAATGAGATTGTAGTATTAACGGGGGCTACTTTAAATTTTAATTCCAAGAATTAATTTAACATTTTCTGACTCTTTACTTACATTCGACTTTCAAAGAACAACGTTCCTATTAATAGCTGCATTTGCTATGACCATAATCAAATTGCAGGATAAAAGCTTTGGAAAAATGTGTATATTATTGTGACGTCCAGTAATTTCGCATGGGCAATTATATGTGGCAGCAATTAGAGCTCGTTCATTTAAAATATAAATTGGGCCCATGCACTAAACAATAACAGAACATTCAAATAGAACATTATTTACATAGAAGTTTTGAATAAAAATGGATAAATTGTTAATTTAAATTTATTTTTTACTTGCTTAATCATAACATTAATTTATTGTGATAATAACACACATGAATTAAAATGAAAATTAAATATTTTTGAATGAGTGTATTTTGTATTACTTACAAATAATTTTAAATGACTTGAGCTTGATTTTTAATTGAAATTGAAATTTCGTTTGTATTAATAAATGAGGATTTTTCAATCGTGATTTACTCTTTATTTATTTACTTTATTTTTTATTTAATTATATCTTTTCCTCAAATTTTTAATGGCTATGGTCGAATTTCGACCACTGGGCAAACACTAGTAACAGTAATTAGTTTAGAAAAACAAAAGATACTAACCACCTATATGAAATGGTGTTTAAGTGATTTTTGAAGTCCTATTGAATGTAATTAAACGAGCAATAATACTTTAAGACATAATGTTTTTTATTTTTTACCATAAAACATGGTTATATTTTACCATTTTGGGGGGACTCAGCCCGAAGCCCTCCGTAAATCCGCCTGTGGTCCTACTTATGTTACTTATTTCCTTACATAATAATATCTAATTTGGAATATTCATTTTTGTTACAAAACTATCGTTATTCCTAGAACTTTATGAACTCTGAAATATTTCAAGAAAAGAACTATATTTTAAAAAATCTGGTGTGTCCACTACACGACTTTCCTACCTATTTCAGAATCTGAATTAAATATAAAGCATAAATATTTTTTTCTATTTCCAAAAACAGGTTCTTAACAGTCACCAGCATTTATTGCATTTATTTAAGTCGGGAAGCGAAATTAAGTTGCTTTTATAACAAGTTAAAGATAATTTCTGTTAATATCTATTTTAAAATTAAGATTATAAAATTTCAACACTTTATTTCGCATAATTACATCTCTGTTCTCATTCCTGTCAGCTGTAGCAACATTCCAAATCAAACAATGTCAATTACTGCTGCAACAAAACTATTCTATAAACTTACAATTTTTTATAATTTAGATGGATGTTACATGGATTAGAAATATGTCTTGGTAAGGTGAGAAATATTGATTTTAGTTTAGATATTTTATTCATTCCATCAGATTAATTGTTGATTTTGATTTTGATTGATTGAACACCCTATATATAGTATTATATTGTTCGTTTTACAATAAACAAGTTGATTATGTTAGTTATCACTCATAATTGTTTTAAATAATATAAATTCCTGAGACATTTTTGGGGGTCATCATTCCCCTCCCCCAACTAGAATGGAAATTCTGCGCCTATGTTAGCAAATATCGTTGTATAAACATTCTCACAAGTTTAGAAGGAATGTTCTTTTCTAATATTCTTATGCCTGACGAATTATGTGCCTAAAGGCTTGTTGGGAATCTACGAAGCTATGATGAGTTGGGATACATAGGATAATAGTCGGAAGCTGATTTCCCTTGTTTCGGCAAACGATTTGGTGTCTCCTTATCAGCTTAATAATAATAATAATACTTTATTTATTCTGGGACGAGTCCCTTTAGAATAATTCAGAAAGACATTAATATGGTCTAAGGAGCCTCAGAGATACATAAAAAGATACAGAGTAATTAAAAAGTCATAGTAATAAAATTAAAAATTATAAATTACTTTCTAATTTCAATCAGTTAATAATTAAAAATTAAATAAAAAGGATGAAGTAAAAATAATGAAGAACGAGCTAATAATTTATATACATATTTACATTAGTATCTATACAATTTCATGGGGACTGGATGGATAAGAAATGATTGAACAAGCGGGATTTAAAGGTAGGAAAGGTATTAGATTGTGGCATGTGAGAAGGGATGGAGTTCCAAAGGGATGAGGATCGGATAATGAAAGATCTGTCGAAAGCAGCTGTTCAGTGGGCCTTATATATAAGTCAGAAGACCGATAACGAGTATTAGGGGCTTAAGGTATACAGGATTATTTCATGCTCGAGATTTATATGCCTCATCATTTGCAGCAAATTTCTTTATATGTACATATATATATATATATATATATATATATATATATATATATATATATATATATATATATATATATAACTTCATATTCCAATCAATAAATATTAGCGAAGTTGAACCAATCCATTTTAACCACACTTTATGAAATGTGCATGATTTCATAAAAGTCAGGAGCTGTATGTTTCTTTAATCTGATTAATCTCTGTTCCTACGAAACATTGTATTAACTTGAGAATAATTCCAAAGAAAAAAGTAGTAAATGAAACCTTGATACACACAATACAAGATGATTTTTTTCTGTTTTTTTTTGTCTTGTACAAGCACGTTCTTATCAAATCATTTCATCTTGGGGTACCCTGAAACTAGGCAAAAAAAAAAAAAAAATATATATATGAATAAAATATTCTTCCTAATTAAAATGGAATACATATTCGTTGTTAATTATGTTTATTGAATCTTAAATAATTTTTTTTATTACCATAAAATTATCTTCGCCAATATAAAGCCTCCATCAGAATACATACTAGTTTGTCCAAATCAAACTTTCGACAGCACTAGCGGATCCAGGATTTAATTTTGGGGGGGGCTTCAGCCCGAAAGATTTTTTTTTTTTTCATATACACATAACGATAATCAATTTGAAAAAAAAAAAAAGAAATTAATTACCTATATGAAATGGTGTTTAAGTGGTTCTTGAAGTCCTATTAATTATAATTACACGAATAAGAATACTTTAAGAGATAGTTTTTAATATTTTTTTCTGTAAAACATGGTTACATTTTACCATTTTGGGGGGGGCTTCAGCCCGAAAGCCCCCCCCCCCCGTAGATCCGCCTGTGACAGCGTTTTTCAATTTTCATGTTCATTATTTTTTACTTTGTGAAACAAAAATCTTTAAGTTCTCACTAACT